CCCAAAACCCCTTGAATCGCAAACTTATAACTTACTATGAATTGCTAATTTATTAAAGAATTTTCTGTAATTAAAATTAAATTTACGTCATGCGTCTTGATAAATATCATTCTTTTAGTTAGAGTTAGATCAACTCAGTTTTCACTTGTCTTTCATTGATTCTAATACTTCATATTTCTCAGATGATTCTAATTGTTCATCATATCATTTGGACTAAGTTAGATCATTTAGTTTTATGTTTAAGCTCTATTTATCATAATGAGTTGTTGAGTTGGTGACTGATTTTGCTTCATTAAATTCTCCTGACTATTACTCTTATTAAGCAAATTCGATATATATCCTGTTTGAGGTTATGTTTGTCCAACGATTGGTAGATTTCTTTGATTATTTTGTTGACCTGGAGAGACCATCTATTACACAGGTTGCATTATCAAATATCTTCCATCAATTTACTAGGGAGAGGTGCCTTAAAGTTGAATTTACTGGAATTGAGGATAAACATTCCATGGGGGTGTGCCTCCGGACATTGGAGTTGTTTACTAATTTTGGAAAGCACTAGTGCCACTAATCAAGAAGGTCTATGGTGAGATCTTTTGTCTGTCTGATGGTGGCGTGTATTTAGTAAAGCCTTATCTTGTCTGACTATGAGAATTTTGTTATGTTTGATTGTATTTCAACTAGATTGGTCTGAACATGTCAGATACATTTGAGATCTAAAACATTCCCAGGGGATTTGAATTTTTATTTTAGTTAGCACCTGCCACTGTAGATGATTATGTTGGAGTATTAGTAGCTGATTACCCTGGTTGTATTTGCAAAGGTTAAATATTTTCATTTCCAAAATCAAGGATGTCTCTAACATCATTCAATTTTGAAATGATCAGCTAATTTTCATTATGGCTTTAGTATGTGTAGCAGCCATCTCTAGTTACAATCAGAACCTCTCTGGTATTCTCCTCTATGAATTTCTTTTCCCTTATCTTTCCTTATTCATTAAAGGTTTGCTCGTCTTATTTCTAACCAATCTTTGATTACAATTTGTCTAAAGCAGCCATTGAATGACTTCTTTGATGTGATCTTTATGACGATTCACCTGTATTTTACCTCATTGATGACTCTAATTATGGACTTGATTGATCGATACTCATTTTGCTGCTATGCTCGTTTTATCTCTGTCTTTCATTTAACTAGGATTCTTTCTTAAGAGAATCAGTAGATTCATCTCTCATCTTTTTTATATAAGGCTTAATAGAATCCTTAATTTCCTGATCAATCAACTATGCTAATAGCTTAACCTTACTTATTTACTAGGGGCTTTGTTCGCATATCTGTTTCAAAATGTAGTTTATCTTGATTCTATTTGAGCTGTTTTGAGATCCTTTTAATAGCTCTATGCCTATATTATCTATAAAGTTCTAGGTTTAGGCCAGATTAATAGAGCTTGTGGTGTTATTTTGGGGCTGGATTTATTGATTGCTTGAGGTGTTATTGTTGTTAATTGACATATTTTCTAGATTTACTATCGGCGGATCCTCTGTGTTGCCATTAGAACTACTAATAAGGCTATTTGTCATACCATTGATTTACCCTTAATTATTCTGTAAATTACCAGATTTCTATTGTTCTCTCTCTTACTCAATTTGAATATTCTTTTTGGCAATAAGAGTCTCAAGAATTTCATCTTCGTCAATCATACTATCTTACTATTATTGATCAATTTTATCTAGAACATCACCCATGTCTGACTCTTGTATCTTTTGAAGTTTCTCATCTTTAATCTTCTTAAACATACAGTTAAATCTGTTTTTAACACTATTCTCAGTTCTACCTGGGAGCTGCTTGACGATTTCAGACCATCTATTACCGATTTGCTTTCTTAGCAATAATATTTTCAGATCTTCTTCGTTCGAAAATGGATCTCTGTTAATTTCGGGGTTCAAAAAGTTGTACCATCTCTCTCTGCATTATTTTCCATTGCGATTGACACCCAGTTTTGAATTCAACATTTCCGCAATCTCCTACCATTGCTTTGTTCCTTTCTCTGAAATTATCAAGAAAAGCTCGTCATCTTCTCTCTTTTACCATTGCGTTTTGGTGATACTCGACTTGTGGCCCTAATTCCATTTGTATTAGCATTGTGCATCGTTTCGACCTGGGACCAATTTAGCAACATTCTACCAATCTGCTGCAGTGAAATTCTCCCCTTATATTCCTCTCTTTTCAGAGTAAGTTTGTATTGCCCAATTTAATAGTTTGGTTTCATCATCACTCCAATTTCTCTTTGTAGTATATTTCCTACAATATAATTGATAAGTAAAGAATTTATGAGGAAGGAAAAGTTAATATTGATTAAGATAGGTTAAGATGAGAAAAGATAAAAGACGGAAATCTTCATCAAAAAACCAAATTACACTAGCTTACCTTTTACTATTTTGATTCAACAATCTTTGAAAGATATCATTTGCCTCCTCATTTGAAATAACTTATGATGATGAATTTAATGCCGTAGATTTCTACCGATGATGATGATGGCCATCCACCTTCTAAGTATTCTGAAACTTTAGCTCTTCGGATGAATCGTAAGATAGATCAGAGAATTGTGACATAGATCTTTGATGTTCTAAAAGAAATCAAAATGAAATTTTTACTTTGCTCCTTTTTGATGTAGCCCTTCAAATATGATTTGTTCTGTCCGCTTCCCAGCTTTGTTAGTTTCACACTTAATTTATTATCTTATTCACCTTGACTGAGTTAATCCTCTGCCATTTCAATTTCTTGGTGAATCCTTTGCGAAGAAGACAATACTGAGCGTTCCTTGCTTCTTGCTAAGCAATACTATTAGAAAGCAAAATATTACATTCTTTTCTAGGTTGACCCACTATTTCCATAGAGTCAGAATCTCGAGAAAATCTTCTGTTTAGCATACTTTTTCCTTGATTAATAAGTAATTATGATAATAGATATTGCTTTAATTTAGTAGTTTAAACTATCACGTCTCATTATGAATTCAAATAGTAGTTTAAGGGGTTTTGGGGTTTTGGGGTTTTGGGG